CACTGATTTCTTCTTTTAACATTGTGAAGCTCTACTTAGAACCTTCTTAAGATCCAAAAGTGCAAAATGCAAATTCTTGCACTTTTTTGACTGGTCTTAGTGCTATACTGTATTTAATTATGCTATGTGATGCAAATAGTTTATACATTTTTTATTTTCAAATCTTTTAATTTCAGTTTTAAGTTCCATAATGTTGATTTCAGTTTCAAAAAACAAAAAAGTTTATTTGCATACATGTCAACACCTTTGGACGTTTACCTGTGTAATGAGCCTCAAAAATCTGTAATTTTCAAAAATAAAATCCATAATGGGGGGGTGGGGGTGAATTTAAACAAACTTTTTACCCTAATTTAGCTCCGTATAAACCTGAACAGAAAGTAATAATCTGAAAATAAAAACTAGAGTACCTAAAAAAAGAGATATGAGACATCAGCTCAACACTTCTCTATAAAACCCTGCTTTAAACTTTTATAGCTACATTCACGTCCTTTCTCAGTTTAAAGAAACTAATCTTAGACATTTTTAGATGACTCTGGTGTTTTTATTTTTAATTTAGCACGCCGCAGCAGCACCCAGAAGGAATCATCTGAAACTGCTGACTGAATCAGAGAAGATACTGATGGCTCTTGATTTTCTTATCACCAAAACTACATTTATTTTCCTCACCACTGATTTTTTAATTATTTTTTTATTCTCGTGTCTCTTTCAGACTACCCGTGTTCTGTGATGCTGGGGATGGTGTCGGGACAGATCTCGGACGCTCAGATCAGCGCCTCGTCCTTCGCAGACCGAGGCTGGGTGGCTGAGAACGTGCGCTTGTTGACCGGGAGGTCGGGTTGGACCGGGCAGCAGACCAAGCAGCCTTTCAGGAACGAGTGGCTGCAGGTCGGTGTCAAACTCAGAAAACTTACATTAAAGSTCTCAAACAAGTAAAATCAGTCCAAATGAATAGTTTTACTTAGGATTTTCTGCAAAAAAAAAAAACATGATAATCTCAGTAGTCCAAATCTAACATTTTTTAATCTCATTACAAGACGCCACACTTGAGTTGCTAGCTAATTTATGATCGCTAAAACAGACTTTAGCATGCTCATAGCTAGATAGCTAATCATAGCTAAAAGAGCTTGAGTCAAGCTAATGTAGATGCTTATAAGCATTATTATCTGTGATTAGTTAGCTACACCTAGCTAGCTAATCATAGCTAAAAGAGCTTTTAGCTTGAGTCAAGCCAATGTAGATGCTTATAAGCATTATTATCTGTGATCAGTTAGCTACACCTAGCTAGCTAATCATAGCTAAAAGGGCTTTTAGCATTCTTTTGGCTAATGTAGATAGAAGTATTTTTTTCTTTGGCTAGCTAGCCAACAGCTAGCCCTTTTAGCTATAATTAGCTGACCAGCTAGCTACTTTTATATGTAATTGTCTAGTCAACGGCTTGCCACTGTGAGAGACATAATAATTAAAAGTGATAGAAACACTTTTATTAGTGATTAACTAGCCACAGAGGTTTGGAGTAATAGAACAGTAAAGTACATTTACTTTGTTACGGTACTTAAGTAATTTTTTTGAGGATTTGTAATTTTACCAAGTATTTTTTAAATTGTGACTTTTACTTAGTTGCTTTTAAAACCTAACAATGATACTTTTACTTCTTTACTTTAAAGTTTAACTACTAGTTGTTATAAATTAAATTTGTCTGAACTCATCATGAAAGGATTTGTATGCTCTAAAAAATTAAGTGTTGAATTTACTCAACTAAATCATATCAGCTATTTCCACTAAATTTAGCAGAGTAAATTTGACGTGGTATACTTATTTTATTTTAAAGAAATTGACCGATTTAATCAACTTGGTTTTGTGGAGCCAGTTTGGTTCTGTAAATTTAACAGTTTATTTGTTAGAGAGCATGCAAAAGTACTTTTACTTCTACTTTCCCAGTTTTTATTAACAGTTTTAGGACTTTTACATAAGTAGTTTTCCTATCAGTGACATTTATTTTTACCAAAGTCATTTTCTGTTAAGGTATTTTTACTTTTACTTAGTTMTTTTTTTCAAGTACTTTATAGACCTCTGACTAGCCAACAACAAGCTACATAGATAATCATAGTTAAAAGTACTTTTAGCATCCTTTTAGCTAATGTAAATAGTTTGAAGTACTTTTTTCTGACTAGCTAGCGAACAGCTAGCCCTTTTAGCTAAAAGCCAACAGCTAGATAGTTAGCAAATCTTTAAAGTAATGTACAAAGTTAGAAGCACTTTTATCGGTGATTAGCCAGTCAACAGCTTGTTAGCTAGCTAATTAATCATAGCTAAAAGTGCTTTAAGCATGCTCACATTTATCTGTGGTTAGCTAATTAGCAAGCTGTTGGCTAACGTGTCACAAACAATCACAAACATCATCTGCCTTTAGCTTGTTTATTGGGAGTTATTGAACCACAACAAGCTTTTTTCATAAATATTTGTCTTGTTTTTAGTGTGGATTGTCATATAGCTTGTTTGTTGTTGTATAAAACTTCAACTGTTGTAATTTACTTCCTGGCAGGTGGATCTGGGTCAGGACAAGATGGTGAGCGGTGTGGTGATCCAGGGAGGAAAACATCGAGACCGCAACGTCTTCATGAAGAGGTTCAAGGTGGGCCACAGCCTGGACGGAGAGAACTGGACCGTCATCAAGGAGGACAACACGACCAGACCGAAGGTCTGTTCCTCTTTACAGAACTTCTTCTGGCTGCTTTCAGGACAGTTTTTTTTTTTACTTTCATGAATGAACCAGTGTGTTCAATTTCATTAACGTCTTCTCCGTCAGAGCAACTGGTAGTTCTGGTTTAGATTTCATCATCAGTTTCTTCAGCTCCTTAAATGTTTAAACCCAAAGCCCTTTAGAGCCACAACAGGAAATTCTTGTCCAGTTTCCCTCTTCGGCTGGCCCAGTTGGTGCCACATCCTCCTCGATGTGTTCCACATGTTGGGCCGGTCCGACCGTCAGAGTCCTGCTGGTTTTACTGTAGATGAAGATCTGTGCCCCGTCTCCACGCCTTAACTCTGTTTCCTGTTGTTCTTTAACAGAACGGACTGAAGAGTCGAAGCAGGAAGACCCGACCCGGTCCTTGTGTTTACGTCTGAAGCACAGTGAAGAAGCTAAAACTGAACCGATGCTAATAGAGTCAAAAAGAAGCAAAATGCCAGCTACAAGTCCAAAGTAGCAAAACCTTTGAAAAAATCTTACTAAAAGTGAAAAGGAATTGCTGAAAGCTATTTGTAACTACAGGCTAGCTGAAAGCTAAATGTAGCAAAAGGCCAGCTACGAGCTAAAAGTAGTGAAAGGCGACCTGAAAGCCTCAAATAGCAAAATGCAAACTAAATGCTGGATGTAGCTACATACTAGCTAAAACTTTAACGTAGCAAAATGCTATCTGAAACCCATACGTAGTGAAACGCCAACTTTAAATTGTGAAATGCTAGCTAAAAAGCTTAAAGTTGCAACTGTTAGCTAAAACTTTAATATTTCAAAATGTTAGCTAAAAGTAGCAAAACTGTAGCTAAAAAACAAAAGTAACAAATCGCTTGTTAAAAGTAGTTAAAAGCTAGCTAAATCTAAGCTCAGTAAAAAAAAACAGCTGGAAGCTAAAATTAGCAAAAGGCTATCCGAAAGCTAGGATTAGCAAAATGCTGGCTAAAAGCTAAAATATCTTAGCTGAAAGTTAAAGTAGCAAAAAGTCAGCTAGAAGCTGAAAGAGCAAAAGAATTGCTGAAAGCTATAAGTAACTAAAAGCTAGCTTAAAGTTAAATGTAGCTAAATGTTGCAAGGCTAGTAGCTAGATGCTCAAAGTAGTGAAAGGTGACCTGAAACCTAAAAGTACCTAAATGCTAACTAAAAGCCGAAAGTAGCAACATACTAGCTAAAACTTTAACATAGCAAAATGCTATCTGAAACCCATAAGTAGTGAAACTCCAAATTTAAACTGTCAAATGCTAGGTAAAAAGCTTAAAGTTGCAACAGTTAGCTACAACTTTAATATTTCCAAATATTAGCTAAAAGTAGCAAAACTAGCTAAAAAACAAAAGTAACAAAGTGCAAGTTAAAAGTAGAGAAAAGCTAGCTAAATTAAAGCTCAGTAAAAGGCTATCTGAAAGCTATAATTAGCAAAATGCTGGCTAAAAGCTAAAATACCTTAGCTGAAAGTTAAAATAGCAAAAAGTCAGCTAGAAGCTGAAAGTGCAAAAGAATTGCTGAAAGCTATAAGTAACTAAATGCTAGCTTAAAGTTAAATGTAGCTAAATGTTGCAAGGCTAGTAGCTAGATGCTCAAAGTAGTGAAAGGTGACCTGAAACCGAAAAGTACCTAAATGCTAACTAAAAGCCGAAAGTAGCAACATACTAGCTAAAACTTTAACATAGCAAAACGCTATCTGAAACCTATAAGTAGTGAAACTCCAAATTTAAACTGTCAAATGCTAGGTAAAAAGCTTAAAGTTGCAACAGTTAGCTACAACTTTAATATTTCCAAATGATAGCTAAAAGTAGCAAAACTGTAGCTAAAAGACAAAAGTAACAAAGCGCTAGTTAAAAGTAGTGAAAAGCTAGCTAAATTTAAGCTCAGTAAAAGGCTATCTGAAAGCTATAATTAGCAAAATGCTGGCTAAAAGCTAAAATATCTTAGCTGAAAGTTAAAGTAGCAAAAAGTCAGCTAGAAGCTGAAAGTGCAAAAGAATTGCTGAAAGCTATAAGTAACTAAAAGCTAGCTTAAAGTTAATCCATCCATCCATCCATCCATC